ATATAGCATCGCATCATCAATCCGCCAGATTCGCACATCTGAAATGTGTGTCAGGTTGACGGCGCAGTGTGGCGCAGCGATTTTTCCAAAAAAAATTAAATTGCAATTTTTTTTATTTAAAATAAAACCTTTAAATTCCTGTACTAGATGTATTTTTGTCCGCTCTGCAAATTTACTTAGAGTATATACGGGTGGTTTAGAAGGCCATTTTCGCGTTATTTAACAAAAACCGTTTTTTCAACAAATCCAATTTTGGAAATGATCGGCAAAGACGATAAAATCAGTTGTTATATACCAAAGTCAAAATCTACTTCCAAAACCTCCTTCCATTTATAAGTGATTTTTGTAAAACAGATGAAAATACATCTAATGTGTAAATTTGAAAGCATTGCATTAAAAAGAAAATCTTTAACTTAGATTTTTTGAAATTACTGCGCCACACTGCGCCGTCAACCTGACACACATTTCAGACGTGCTCCAGATTCAAGTCTAAATAAAAATCAATATATTAATATATTATAAAAGGAAAAAAATAGACAATTGACATAAGAAAAGCTTTTCCACGTCGATCTTCTGTCCAAAATTCAGCTAAAGAACTCTACATAGAAAAATTTTTTTTCCTACTTATTAACATACAAAAATTATTAGATTTTTAGACTTCCCGACGTGAAAAGCATATAATAGATGGCGCAAAACACTCGCTCAAAAAATTCAAGAAAATTTGCTCATACGGCTCAACTAGAAGCTCATACTAGTCTTACTGATGAAGCAATAGTCGCTGAGACCTATAGTGACAACTCAAAATCACCCCCTGATCAAGGGTTAACAAAACGAACAAAAATAGATACAGTATTAGACGAAACCTCTTCTGAACCCAAAGTCAATAATGATATGGATATTGACAAAAACTTAGAAAAAAAAAATGTTGTTCCATCGAATTCTGACGCCGAATCACGTGATCCCATTAGTGCAGATCAACAAACACCAATCAACACAGAATCGGATGACATGATCACAGATCTTCCAAACAAAGATACTAATGGAGCTATTGCTTCCGGATCATCCAATACACAAAATACACAACAACAAAACAATGATGAAATTACACGGAGCATTCTTATTTTTAAAGAAAACACCTCCACCACAAATTGCCAATACTTTATTTTTTTCACGAAGGATCAATTTGACGCCAACAAATCCAATAATGAAATTATAAATTCAATCAAAAATGCATTTCTTACAATACATCACGCTATTGGTTACAAATACCAAAAGAAAGCTACCCTAGAATTTTTCACGGTGCAAATCAATAACGAAGAATGTTATAACAATATAGTTGATAAACCGATAGCACTCCTTAACAATATTACACCTCGTCCATATTCAAAAGATTTAATTGATCAATTGATCGCGGCCAAGCTTAATAAAATCGAAGAATGTACCGTTAAATTGGCAAACGTCCCATTCAACTATGACGTAAACCTTCTCATCAAACACTTTGCTAATTTTACAAAGCAGTCTATCGCCAGTTTTAAAGAAATCAAACCTAATCTTAAAAGAAGAAGACCACTAGACAACAGAAATACCCAACGAAGCCAATCACCTACCTATAAACAAGTGATTATCACTTTTGACAAGAAATCAGCTGTTGAATATTTATTCGCCCAACAGAAATGGGGAATACTCATAGAAAACTTTCTAGTTCGCATTTTACCAATGGACGTAAATTCTCAAATTTACAAACAGCGAAACACTCCCACATATGTAGTCACAGGTATACCACTTAACGCCAATATTTTGGACTTAGAACCCTTAATTAACCACATCAAAGGTCGATCATTGGCATTCGTTCCAACCAACCCGAATTCATTACACAAAGTAGCATATATTTATACGGATTGTAATATAGACGATCAATCTAGTATTATTGAAAAATTTGACACACCATTTAACGGAGCCAAACTCTTCATCTTTCTGGCATCACAGAAAAAGTATACAGAAACTTGTGGATATTGTGGTGATGATAATCACATGATTAATGATTGTAAAGAAACAGATTATGTAATATTACCAAACAATCGTGGACGACGTTTTAGGAAAAAATTCCTGGCCAGATCCAACAAATTTACGATGGATGATTCAAATAAATCCGTATATAATCGTATTAGAATAATCACCAGATCTACACCCAATGAACATAATCTCAACCATAATGGTCCTAATCAATCATTACATTCAAAACCAAAACACCCTAACAGTACCAAGTATAATTATAATCAAACACAGTATCAACAACCAAGACATGGTAAAAGTATTAACAACACACAATCAATCCCACATGGATCATGGGCACGTCCTACTGAAGAATCTGGGTATAATTCCTCAAATAAAGGTAAAGGACGAGAACAGAATGACGATATCGTAGAACTTAAAAAACAAATCACACATCTAAACACTATTATAAAAGACCTTAGTTCACAAATTAAAGGCCTAGATATTGTCCAAAAAACCCATAATAAAGATATTAAATTATTACAAGAACAAGAACGTCGTCATGCTGAAGACATTGAAAAAATCAGAGTGGAATGTGAGAAAACTAACACAACCATTACTAAACAGTCAGAGATCATTAGTGACATCCCAGAAATGGCATCAATCCTGAGAAACATTAGCAACTCAGGTATATTAACACGTTACCAACCACAACAAGAGGCATACGGTACACACAATTACGCTCATCCACCTCACAATTTATACGTCGAGGAACACGTACACCAACAGGAAGAGATCTATAGTGAATACGAGGATTCCAATAATGGCTACGAATCTTCTGATACAATTAATACCCGCATATTTCCTGATGATGATAACTATACACCATCACACCCCACATCATCTTCATTCCCTTCTATAACATCAAGAGTAGGTGGTTTCCTCGGTCTCCATCAGAGACAACAATAATCATTGATTATTGTCTTATACACAAGTATTATCTCTCAACTATCAGGGTGGACTAATGATGAACAACAGTAATAATAAACACACTTCTGGCGTCGAAAACCAGAAATTTTCTCCCTTTTCTAAAATTAAACATCTTATTTCTTCAAAAAATCCTTTTAAAAATACTAAAAAAACTTCAAAATCACAAAATCAAAAAAATAACATTAATAATATAGACAATATTGATACCCCACAAATTGCACAACATTCTTATCCCACTTTAATTTTCGCTACCCATAACATTCAAGGTTCTCTTAATCAAAAAAGAGACAGTTTATTATTATATATGATGGAACACGACATCGACTGTCTCTTCGTTTGCGAAACCAATATTGTAGACCCAAACTTTTCACCTACACTTAAAACTGCGTGGCAAAAAATTATAGCACCAATATATAATAATTCTAATAATATATTTTATTTTATTAACAATCCAGATCTGGAACACAGAGGTTCAGGTAGTACTTTCATACTGACAGAGAAATTACATAGACATTTACAAACAACAAAGATATTGGACCATGGTCGTTGTATAAAGATCACGCTTAATTTTAAAAATCACAAAATATTCAACATTTATGGAATTTATTTACCAAGTGGTAAAGATAAGTCAAATGAACACATCAAAAAAACGAGACTTAATAATATCTGCAAAATTCTTTTCGATGATATAACTAAAACAAAATCACGTGACCACACTTATACCGCGATAATGGGGGATTTTAATATTAATTATTCCAAAGAGATCCTTAAAAAAGGAAAATCAATTTCATATATTGACGCCATGGACAAAATCAAACACAACAAACTAGAACAATGGATGTGTTATAAAATATTAAAACTATTAAATTTTACCAATATAGCGACAACCTTCAAAAAAGAATCGGAGAAAACATGGTTCTCTTCTTGTAATAGTTCCGCTTCCTCGACTACTGTTGATTATATCTGGGCATCTAATAATCTTAATGACATTATCATTGACTTTAATTTAACAAGAACAACTTACTCTTCAGACCACGCCATGTTGATGTTCACTTTTGAACATCCAAACAATTCTTTTGTTAACTTAAAGAATTTCAATAAGTCACGTGATACAGGAAAATCCTTCAACAACAGATATAACCTTAATAGCATTCAAAAAGAGGACTGGGTCACATTTAATAATATTGTTAATGAAAAACTCATAAGGTTGCAGGATATACCAAATTATTCAACCAAAACTCAAGTATCAGCAGCTATGAATACTTTCAATTCCATCATCATAGACTCTTTGAACGAAATGAAGGTCGCAAAAATTAAAGTAACCCCAAGGCGCAATAATTTACCACTGGCTTTACGTAAAAAATATAATCATATTCACCAACTCAACTCTATACAAGCTACAGTAAAAGAAGCATTATATATAGAATCAGATCAATTTAAATTAGAAATTCCCTCCAGTGCTGAACAACGTAAAGGACTGAAAAATAATTTTGACCGCCATTGGAGATGAAAATCAAATTGGCTTATCAAATTATTTCGCCAATATAATGTACGAAATGGGATTGCACTATATAGTCAAACTTTAAATTCGGTCGAAGAGTTAGAGAGTGTCCATATCAATATTGTTAATCTAATCGATCATATCAACAATGAAATCGTCAAAGAACGAAACGCTTGGGATGTCCAGCAAATTGAATATTTCATTAATAGACGAAACGAAGACTTAAAAACTAATCAGAAAAGAGCATTAAATTCTATTTTAGAAAGAAATTCCAGAAAGATTATCCTTGATCGTCTTAAATTTTATGAAAATGGCGATCTTCAATATACGACAGACCATCAGATCATTAACGAGAAAGTTAACTCACACTTTCAAAATATAGGCTCCTCAGACACATCACCTAATGTATACAATCCTTTAATAGAAATGCCACATCCCTGGCGTTCCGTTTACTCACCAAAGACAATCGATGATCCGGACGCCATTAAAAAACTCATAGATCCAATTACCGTTGATGAACTTCAATTAATGATCAAAACGTTACCAAATCATAAAGCTCCAGGACCTTCAGGCATATCATATGAATTGATAAAAAAATTACCATCATCGTTCTTGAAAGAACTTGTAGACTTTTATAATCACATACTTTCTACTGGTATCTTACCGGATTCATGGCAAGATGCACTTTTATATCCAATCCCAAAACCAACTTGGTGGGATAATGATATTAAACATACACATCCTATCGTTTTATTAGACACCTTTAGAAAATTACTTGTGAAAATTATTAACGCAAGTCTTAATTATTACTTAAGTTCAAATAAGATTCTACAACCTAACAATAGAGCAGGTACTCAAGGATCATCCTGTATGGAAATCATTTTCACGATTCAAAGCGCTATTACTGCGGCTAAACAACTCAACAAAAAGCTATATATCATGATTCAAGATCTCTCAAAGGCTTATGACCGGGTTAATATTCCTTTACTAAGACGCGCCCTTTTACGTATATGTATACCTGAAAATCTAATAGACTTCATTATTAATCTCTTTACTGATCGAAAGAATTCCGTACTTTTTGAAAACTTTATTGGAGACCAATATGACGTACTTAATGGTATAGATCCTGTCTCTTATACACATCTAGATGTGTATAAGAGACAGGTATAGATCAAGGCGAATCTATTTGTCCGCTCTTATGGGTCATTTATTATGATCCCATGTTTCAATTAATTAATGAAACGACAGATAAGGAATACATGGGTATAGAATTTGAGACTTCGTTGCCTAGAAATATTCATCGTTTTGATATAGATGATCGGCATATTGAAAAATTTTCAGCAAAGGTTCTGGGATATTTAGACGATACCACATGGTTAACTAGTGACCTTAATTGTCTACAAAAGAATTTGGAAATTGCAGATAGTTTTTATCAATTAGCCAACATTAAAATTAATAAGGACAAGACGGTAATTTTATCCAACGATAAAAAAGAACGATCGGATATTATCAACATTTCCTTTGGTAATGACTCAATTAATGTGAAATTACAACCAATGGGTAAAGGTACACGCATTCTTGGAGTTCACTTACATGCTGATGGAACCAACGCCACCACTCTTTCAAAAATTAATAGCATGGTTAATTATACATCATTCCTTATTAGACGGAAAAAACTCACTCATGATCACGTGATCTATGTTATTAACAAAGTGATCATTCCACGGATAGAATATTTATCCCAACATATTTTTCTTCCAGCTTCTTATTGTGCAAAACTTAACTCACGATTACGCTCTTTATTCAAAAATTCCTTACAATTACCACGTAACACTTATAATTCAGTTATCCATAGTAGGATTTACCCTCACATTGTGAATATCTTCGACAATCAACTAAAAGCACAATCAGCGTTATTTTTCGCACAAGCTAACTGTCCATATACCAGTGATATTATTAAATTTCTTTTATTATTAACACAACAAAAATATAATTTACCTTTTAATCCATTTGATTTTTTTACTTTATTTGATTCCCCATTACGACGTTTCACTAGATTAGAAAGTTTATTTGTTTTTTTTAAATTTTATAATATTTCGGTAACTTCCCATTTTAATTTTAAGGTTAGAGGTGGTGTGTACCCTATTTCTCACTATGTGATTGATCAATCGTTCTTATATAGTCATTTGATGAGCTTACGTACTAAAGGTATTATGTTCTTGGATCAGATAATCACTGAAGAGTCAGCTTATTTAAAGGATTACAAAGATATTAAAAAATCTCTGCAATGCAAAAAGGGTAGAATTCCGAGATGGTATACCTTTCTTAAGGATAATTTAACGATAAATAGCAATAATAGATTGAATATTGAACTAGATCAACCTATAATGAAAAGTCATAATGTGGAACGTCTCAAACCACCTAATATATCACGCGATGCTTTTCATCACAAAGGACCTAGTAAATGGGTTATAACCTGGTCACCTAATATCATTGACGTTGTATATGGAAAAGCCATTACTTCTACCAATTTTGAACATAGCGTCCCTCTCTTATATGCTGAACATTGGATTAAAGTTCCTCTAAACGCTTCAACTTCAACACCTCGTTCACGTCCAAACATTATCCAACCATGTCCAGGTTGTCAATTACACTTTCCTTATTATATTGGTGATAACAGAATCTCATGTATCCTAAAAATTCCTTACTCCAAAACTATCCGTGCGTATATCCTACAAAAATCCAATATAGACTTGTACTCTTCCTAGTTACCAACCCGTCTACTCAAGATAGCCAAAGTTCTTAAACATAATCATGAATATTATAAGGTCGTAGCGTATAATGATTACTTAATCCGCGGGGGTTTAATAACAGCTGATTCTATCCAAGCTGATTCATTAGATAATGCTATTCCCGGAAATCTTAATTACCAACTACTTACAGTTTTAATTAAAGATCGTTTAATTCAAGCTAATCTATGGAGTTTGGCACAACAAGTTCATCACTACCCGATATTTGAATTATATACGGATGGATCCTTTAATAATACCCCTGGTATCAATGAATTTCACATGGGTTATGGTTGGCATATATCTAATATACAAAATCAAGATTTCTCATATTGTGGTTCTATTGAACACTTTCCTTCAGCGACAAAAGCTGAAATCATGGCCATTTTAACCGCTCTAATTATTTTACCTGGTGGTTCGGACGTCACGATTTTCACTGACTCTCAAGCTGCGATCTCCAATTTCCAGAAATCTGCACATTTACAATATGTTTCTCCACGCCGATTCAACAAAATTAATTATATGTCTCTTTGGTCAGCGATTCATCACATTATTAAAAAATTATCGCTTAATGTTAAACTGATTAAAGTTAAAGCACATTCATCTTCAGCTGATAATGATAAAGCGGATGTTCTAGCTAAAATGGGTCATTTTAAAACTCCTCCCACGTCAATTACTCTCCATGGTATCCCTAATTTAAATATTTCCTTGGAATGGAATAATGAGATCATGATAGATAAAGATATTAGGAAGACGGTTGGCAAAATCATAGATTATAGATGGTTAGATAACCACATGAATCACAATAATTTATCAGACATATACAAGTTCACACAACGTAATATGATCAATTGGTCGTTGACATCAAAATTTTTTCATCATAATTCAAGAGACACATATACCGATGATAAACATAGTAAAGATATTAGTTGGATTATTAAATCATCAACTGGTACGTTACCAACCCTTGACTTTTTAAATCAGAACTTTCCAAACTTAATCAAAAATGACACCAAGTGTATGCTCTGTAACTCAGCAGAAGAGAGTAACGATCATATTTGGAAATGTCCAACCCTATTACCACATATTCGTTCAACTTTCAGACTTCTAGCTGATCAAGCTCAGACGTTCCTTCAAAAATATGCAGATAAATTGAATCTATGTATTACTGATTCTATCAAATATTCCAACACTTTTTGTTGGTCCTTTTACAACGACGCACCAATCACGGATAATGCAACCTTACTTTTACGTTCTTATGTATCAGAAGATCTATTCCGTACATTTAGAACCCACTTTCTTACACAAGGAGCGACGATTAAGGCCATACTTAAATTTATGGAAACAGCGAGATGCCTAATTAAACGTAATATTTGGAAAGTTCGATCCGCCACGTGGAAAGATAAAAAACGTAGGTTACAGATAACGAAAAAGAGTTTTAAAAATTATCAACGTGATCCTCGTATGAAGACTACCAGAGCGCCCAGACGTCATAATATTGGCTATATTTGCCCTCAAACAGTATCGTTATATAATAATTATAACCGTTCTGATCTCATTTTTATTATATTAGCATCTTCAAATTTTTTACATAGTAGTGTTTTTTTTAATCAATTAACTTATGATTTATCAGATGATATTTCCTATTATTCTTCTCCTCATTATTCCCGTATTTTAATGGTTTAGTTACCTACTGCTAGATTA